AGCTACCAACTGGTCACCGATCAGAAACCAACTGGTAACCAATCAGAAACGAAATGGTCACCAATGTTTGGTAATACTTACGTGTCCAAATGTGTCGTCAATCATGAAGCTGAAGAGCTTATACTTCGAGGAGTTTGTTCCGTGAGTCGATTCCAACATTATTACCTCCAAAAAGGCCTCAAAGAAGCGCTTCATTTGCCGACTCTGGAGTTTAATGGTTTGAGTTGTCTTTGTTTCGTCCACGAACACCGTGGCATTGCTACCTCGATACAAGCAAAACTTCCTCCGCCTCCAGCCTGTCTTCAACGGTGGTTTGTCCGCGTCGCTTGGCTTTTAGTTGCTGCACCAAGTTGTGGACATCTCGCAGTATCACGCGTTTGCCTGCACGAAAACAAAGCATAGTTCAGTCAGACACAGAGAAAAATAGCCTTTAAAAGTAACATTACACTATACCTGTCGTCTCTTGGAGATATTTCAGAATCCTCTTTGGCTTGGCACCGGCCTTGGCCAGCTCGTTCACGAAGTCAAGGACGTTCGGATCCGTAACACGCCTTGTCGATGGGTAGTTTTCGTAAACTTCCTTTTGAAGTCGGTGATTGTGGGTCCGATTGTGCTTAGTATCACAGACTCTCCAGGTATTAATTGTAGGGCATCGAGAAACTGTAGCAGATAGATTAACGCCACACCCAGTACTACGAACAATGTGGCCAGCTCTCCGGCCGTCCCCATGAGGTTTCGCCGCTCATCCATGCGTACAGAGCAGCTTCTTGTAATAGTCCCCAAAGCATTGAGGCACACGGTCGCTCTCCTTTCACTGCTTATTCTTCCTAATCTTGTCATTTCGAGTAGAAACGTTTGTACAAGTGCGAATACGATAAAGCTGCGACGTCTGAGCCTCGTACTGCCGTAAGATTTTGAAGAAATCATCCCAGGTGTCGTGCCAGCGTTGAAACGGGGGTGCTGTCTCGCTCACTGCTCCTGCTTCGCTGCCAGAAGAGTCCGATCCAAGCCCGGAGTCGCTCGAGCCTTTAGGTTTTCGTACAGGCACTATTCGCTCGTCATGTCTATTCGAGACCGATCTGTCCTCACTGTCGCTCATTTGCGTCGTGAAAACCGCCGTAGAAGGTGATATCTGGCTGTCTGCGCACGATCGCACGCGTCCGGAGCACGCAACGGGGATGGAGGGGGAGCTGCGCGGGTGAGGCGGCGGAATTCTGGAATGAAAGGCTCGCAAGACGCGCGCAAAATCCCCCTCCGTTTTTCCAAAATTCAAAATTTAGGCGAGACCGAAATTTACGTAAATTACGAAGCTGTGGTAAATTACAGCCGTTGTGTCGTCCGCGTCTCATCCCGGCTGTGCATTTTGGTTTGTGATGCTATTCACTTCCTATTTGATTATCTTAGCTGCGTATATCTGACAAGAAAAAAAGGGATTCGTAATAGTGTTGCAGGAGGGTCAGTATTTTGTTGAATTATTGCGCAACTTACTTGGAACTCGGTATTAAACATATACGTTTTTGAACGAGTATACTGCCCAGGTTGTTTTGCGAATTTAACCTGTTGTATCTCCTGATTTGAATTTGTCAGGGTAAAAACCAGGCTGTAAGATAAAATTGACCTGTAATAGAACCGTAATATAAATAAATGGATGTTCTTTGTTTTTCTGCAGCTCTTGAATACTCACTAAATGATTCATAAAGAGAGCTGCGCGGCCATTTTATATCGAAGTCGTGCTCCAAAGTAATCATGGTGCTTGGACGACATCCGGCTGCAAGCTGAGCTGTAGCTCCGTCTTCGTTGCGTGTCCGGTTACATACCAGGTTGCGCACCAGGTGTAAGTGCAGGCGTGCTAAGATAGATCGTAGCTTTTCTTTTTATTTTGGCGTCAGGTTTGACACCAGGTTTTTCATACAGGTTTCTGCCAGGTTAGCGAACTTGTTTTGTTTAATACTGTTTTGGTTTCAGGCTAGAAACCAGGTTGTTGATGCCGGTTGTTTTCCAGGTTGTTGATGCCGGTTGTTTACCAGGTTTGAGCACTTTGCGTTTTTTCAAGGCGTCGATAGCTTCTTCACGTTTTCTCTGTGTCTTTCATGGACAAGATTCTTTACATGTCTGGTGCGTCTTTTGCACAGGAACTTACGCTATAACAGCAATACGTACACATCCATTAAACAGAGTAAACAAATGTACTACAGATTAAGCAGTGCTGCTAGCACACGTAGCCGGAAGTTATTGAGTCCAGAGTCCTTATGCGCACTCTTCACATTTTCGTCATGCAGTCTCCACATGAAGTTCAGAATGTATATTCCGCAGCTGTTTCCATCGTCTTGCGTCGCGACGCGACCAAAACCAGTTTGAAGCTACTGAACGCTTGATCTTTAGTGATGCTGCTATGAAGCTTGGTGAGAAACGTGATGTAATAACAGGATTTACAACAGGATCCGTAACAGGACTACTACCAGATAACAATACAGGTTCTTCATCAGGTGTCCTTACAGACACTTCACCAGGTTTCATTACAGGTTTATCTTCATGCTCACTTCCAGGTTTTTCATCACGTTGATCCTCAGGGTTGTCTTCTGGAGTGCGTCCCACCCAACGTTGGCAGTCTTGTAGTGAGTAGGAGCTTTGCGCATGTGCCAGTCGGAATTCGTTTCAATTAACGAATGCTGCACGAATTGCCCTCGACCGAACGCATCCATAACCATTAAACTGCAAAGTTGGTAGTCATATCTGAAGGTACAAACGTGAACTGAATTAGTAAGGATTAAAACCTGGTTTATAACTGATACTCAGCCTGGCAGATCACCTATGCGAAAGCCTGGTGTCTAACCCGGCATAAACCTGGAATGAAACCTGGCAAATTCCCTATAAAAACCTCACCTGTTGGTTTTGTGGGTACAGTCAACTAACAAGAGCTCAGGAAACCTGGCGAACGTGGCTCGCATACGTCTCGTAGTCAGCGAAATAGCACCGGTCTTTTCGGATGATGTATCGTCCACACTAACCACATTGTCTTTGTCCTTTTCACCAAACTCCATAAGAAACTCTGCAACAGCCAAATCGTCGTCTGCTTCTCCCCGCATTTCATTGCGAATCTTGATCAGGAGGTTAGCCACGTCCATGCGCGTCACCTTGTAGCTTGAAGTGTCACGAATGTACTCGTAAATGCGCAAACTTTTACCGCCTGCTCGAACCATTAGCCGGAGGTCTTCAACAATAGGCTCACACATCGGTATCTGCCGATTATGTGGATAGTTTTCGTACACCACTTCGGATAGCGCGTGGTTGTGCGTATATATAGGGTTCTTAACCTACAATTCACTTGCCCTTGACGAAAATACTCTCGACTGTGAATCGAAACGGACAGCCAGTACCACGAAGTCGGTATAGCTGCCGTTTTCCCATACCACGGCGCCGAGATTTCGCTCCATGGGTGCAAATATACCTGCGTCGCCACCGCGGTAAGTCGTCAGGTAAGTAGCGGACGCCCCGGCCACTCTTCGCACGTTTGGACTCACGCAGCTGCTTGTTGCGCTTCGACACACTCTCTACCTCTTGAATGACTAGATGAGCGTTCTCCTCTTCGCAGTAATTAACGCGATACCTCTCCCAAGCGTCCCAACTGGCGTGGAGCCGCTTCAGCTCATTCCCTTCAAATGAATATTCCTGTAGTAAGAGATCGTCGAGTGAGTCTTCGCTGCCCTCCTAAACTAACTGCGTGCCCTGAGCTAGATGTGTCCAGTCCGTGTCTTCATCGTCGTCGCCTGAACTATCTTCTCCTCCACCCAACGTTGACACAGCTTCGTCGTCTTCGTCGGAGTCGACGTCTTCCACATTACACAGTTTTCGCTTCATTGTGGGCTTTCGACGCAAATTGAGAAATGAGAGACCAGGAGAACATTGCACCGCCCACCGTTGGACAACATCTTAAGATTTGATAGGGTAAGGGGGAATCTTTGCATATCATTGTAATTTACTTTTTAATTACATTCTGGTCAATATCGCACCCTGGTCATTTGTCGCACGGCTATGTAAAAACAACCTGGGCAGTAGTACTTTTTTTGAACATGGCTGTCACGTTCTCTGACGATAATTGTCGATACTGTTAAACGACGAGCTTTGTAGTCCAAAATGTGACCCGATTCATGGAAACGTTGCTTTTCCGCATGGTAGCCGACCGCTCATTTTGAACTCGGGCACCCAGCGCTCAAGCTCCCCCGCATCCGCCTCAAAACCTTTAAGGTCCTTGGTCCAACAGACCCGGCGTATTCAAACACTTCCTCTAGCTCATCAACTCTATCAAGCTTTTCCCGTCCTGCCTTTTGAAGCAAGAAACGGGAATGTAATGCTCGGGCCGCATCTAGAGAAGTTTCAGTCCAAGCTAGTCGTCGACATGATGTTCAGGAAGCCCAACCCGCTTGATAGAACCTGTAACGCGTGCAACAAGATCGTGAAGCAGTCAAAGAAAGCCGGGTATACGAATCTGTTGGATCACCTTCTAGAAAACACAGTGGATCAATCTAGTCGTGAACAAGAACTTCACGTTTCAAGACGTGATGAAACAGTGCGATCCGCGGTTCGCTTCCACACGATGTGGTTTAGAATGCGGATGTTTGAACCCGTCGAGCTGGATATCATAGCGGAGCTTAAGGGCCAACTTTTGTACTGATGTGTGACGGGGTGACCAACTGTCACTCCGAATCCATGTCGGATGAAGAGCTGCCACCGGCGACGACATCTAAGCCGAGAAGAACTCCAGCTGAGCGGTTGTTGCGCGAGCCAAATTGAGAGAGGAACGCAAGTTGAAGTTCATCGACTTGTCTTCGATACCTGTCACTTCCGTTCTGGTCGAAAGGATGTGATGAAATGCATGCTGGACTGGAACTACGGATTGGAATTCCCATCGGTAATCTATCCGTCATTTATTCAGATTGTATCCAAGGCAACGTTGTACTGTAGTATTATATAGTATTATAGTAAGGCAGGAACACCCTACGCATAAAAAAAGAGATCGTTTGATTCTTTGTCAACTCAAAAGCTGCAATAGTCAGCCTCTCACACGTTCAACGATTTCTCATAGTCCTCGATCGACTTGAAAAGCGCCGAGAAGTTGCCCTTACCGAATCCTCCGCAGCCGGCAGCTTGCTCCAAACGACCCGCAACGTCCTTCATGCAGCCCACACGCTCGATGATCTCGAAGAAGACGGTGGCACGATCACCCAAAGGCTTGGTGAAGATCTGCAGCAGAATACCTTGCTCGTCCTTGTCAACCAGCAAGCCCAACTGCTCGATCTGCTTGTACTGTTCCTGGGTCAAAGCGTCTCCAATACGCTTTGGCATCTGCTCGTAGTAAACCTTGTTAGGTCGGGGCATGAACTCGAAGCCTCCTACGTGGCTGCGCTTCTGCATCTCCGCTAATGTGTGGAAAATGTCGTCCGTCTTAAGCGCCATGTGCTGCAGACCCGCACCCACGTTCTGCTCTAGGTACGTCTGGATCTGACTCTTACGCTTCGTGCCAAAAGTTGGCTCGTTTACGGGCAGTAGCACCATCTCGTTATTACTGGCCAGGACCATACTGTTAAGTCCCGAGTCCAGCGTACCCACATCTTCCGCCGTGAACTCGGCGAACTCGTGGAAACCGGTAAAGCCAGTGATGTACTTGACCGCCTCCAGCAGCTTGGGCACGTTGCCCACGCAGTGGTCCAGACGCTGGATACCGATGCTCACATCGGGGCATTCGCACTTCTCGTAGCCAGGCACGAACGGACCCTCAAAGTCCCCACTCACCCAGCGGATCACCACGTCGCCGTACAGCTTCACTTCCGACACGGTTGTCGTCTTGCCCGACTCTTTGTCAGTCAGTGTCTGGGGTTCCACCACACCCACACCACCGTTCTGCACGGAAAGTTCGTACGCGGCCTTAGCATCTCCGACGAGAATTCCCACGGCACGCACGGCCAGGCCGTGCTTCATCACGAACTTCTGTGCGAACTCCGGGTCGTAACCAGAAATGGAACTCACGGCGTCGGGCGCCTTCTCCGTCTCGAGCGCGTACGGGGCCGTGAACACCAGTTTGACTTCTCCGCTCTGAATGACGTAGCTGGCCGACACGTGGTTGCCCGTGGACTGGTCGGACTTGCCAATCTGGGCCATGCCTAGACCCCAAGCGAAGCGGCGAGATGCGTTGGTGGCGTCTGCGCAGTAGAACTCGATGTGGTGGAACTTATGCACGTCGAAGCGGTCGGTCATGGGGTTGTTGCGCACAAAGTTCTTGCAGCCCACAAGTTTCATGTCGGAGGCGGAGGGAGGCATCTTCCACTGAGAAGGGGACTGTGGGGGCTTTCAAGGCAAGTTTGAAAATGTTACCGAGACTACCGGCACTCAAAGGACATACGGTTGAAGTTAAACCACATTGAAGCAAGTGGCGTCGAATCGGCATGATTGTTAGCCTCGAAGTCTAATCGTCGAGTTTTGACGCCGTAAAAATGTGTAGCCATCTTTGAGGAGTTTCTGATTATCTATAAAATGATATCTGTTCGATTAGGTGCGAGTATTTGTGGAGGAGATAATACGCCGTCTACTATTATTATTGAGCGCGGTTTATGGGAATTGCGGCGTTATATTTTTTTGGTAAATGTTGACAGCTCAGGTGGTTAAGACACCTGGTTTATTCATGATGCAACAGCGAGATGAAGCTTCGGCGCGATCTCCCGCCATCATTTCTGATGGCATGATGCACTTATACGCCAACCCAACTGACGAAAGTTCTTTTCGGCACGTGATTGAAAACCACCACCTTCAGTCTCTATCCAGTCGATCGCTCGCTGTTTTAAACTGATCTTGAATCTCTTGCGCTGTGGCGGCATGACAGCAAAATTGAGAATGATCGTAGTTAAATGGTAGCGAGCTATTAGTCTAAGAACTTCTAGAATTTTAAAACGATGGGTGAAAGGACTCTGTAGAAAATCTAGAATTTTAGAATGTCTACGTATTCAATGTCGTTCTATTTCTATAAAACGCTCTCAGACAGGGCGCTCAATATAGGAGGGCGTTTTATTCGCTAGGGGAGCACTACTATTATACGTTACTTGCGCCAAAACCAATCGTACCGATGGAAGAATTGGTGAATTCTTGCAGTTTTTCACACCTTTCGAGCCGCTATTCGATGATGATGCCTACAATAAAAATACGGTAAGCTTACAAAGATTTATGAGCACCAATCAGCTCGTTATTTAATTTGTTGGCAAGTTTCTGATTAGATGTGGCCCTATACATGTACAGTACTGCACCCCGTTTTCGCGGGGATGGACCATATTGGATTTGCAAATAAACTAGATTCTAGCTTACAAACAATCGTTCATTTGGATTCAGGATCATCACATCTGGAAGTTTATTAAAGGTCCAAGGGCGCGAAACGGGGTGCAGTACTGTATTACATGTACAGAGGAAATACGAAATTATGAGGACAGCAACTACGAAGTAGCCATGGAAAAACTTATAAATAATAATACGTCAGTAACCAGCAACCAGCATCCGTGAAATTGATTGTTTCATTGTTCGACTGCATCAAGAACACATACGATTTGTATGTGTTCTCGATGCCTCTATAAAAAAAATCTTTTACGTGTTTTAGTGAGTGTGATACTCCATTGCATTTTCACAAGTGTTCCGGACATGGAGTCAAAATTAGTGGAGGTTTACACATGTATATTTTAATTGCGGCTACATACATGAAGGTGAAGAAGCGTTGAATGACCTGGTGTTTAAAGTTTAACAAACGATTGCTTATCCATGAGTTTAGGAGAGACTTACATACTTAAACCCACTAGCCGAGCACCGCCGCTTCGCGGCGGTAGTTTAGGTTTAGTTCATACCTTTCCGCCTTCGGCGGGTTAATTATTGCAGAAAAACCGAGCCTATGTTCCTATTAATAAATCGACTTTTTTAATTTATAAATCTTGGTATAGTTTTATTTTAAATACTTTTAAACAAAAGGGGATTATAATTTAAGATTTATTATATTATAAGAAATCAAATAAACTTTTGAAAAGAATTGTTTAAAGAAATTTCAAATGTTAAAGCAAAAATAAAATTTTCATTTTATTTATTTATTTCATATATTTGTTTATCATTAAAAAGGTACAAATGTTGTTTATTAAAACTTTTTTTTGATAATTTGTTTTATTTTTTTGCATATTTATATAATAATATGGATAATATCACCCTTTTGTAAAATAAAACCTTAGATAATAAATGTAAAACAATTCGATTTTCGTTATAAAATGCACGAAATGATTTTAAGTATTATCTAGTAGGCCGTGCAATTATTTATACAAAAGACTGAGCCCCAGCATCGTGCTTACCTGATTAAAATAGTTATTCTCTAATTGTCTTGGTACAATCTCTTTATTTTTGTTGGTTATCAATGTATCTTCATCATTCACATACTACAGTAGTGGCATTTATACAAACGCTACACAATATGTTTAGTTTAGCGTCGTGCTCGATATCACAAGCTGTTTCTGAAGGCTATGAATTTAGTCATATCAACGCAAAAAAAATAGTAATGACATGTCCAGCTTTCACTAATTACCCGCTTGCATTGTCCGTTTGAGGGGCAGTGCAAGCGGGTAATTATTGCAAGCTGAATCTTTAGTAAGTAACTAAAAATTATCACATCTCGTACCAAAATCAATTTAAATTATAACACTTTTAATGCATTTTAGCGTTCATTTTGTGCTGATTCATAATTAGTCATTAGACACTCCAATCTGTGCCAGTTTTGATTAAAGCATTTGGATAATGCGTCGCAAGACGCCTTGTTGCTGTTGTTGTTGACGGCGGTGAGTTTTATTTGATACTTGAGCGATGTCAATTACTGTAGGCTCGGAGTTTTTAAATTTTTCTTAATGGGTCTACTTAGCCAACCATAATTTACACCACTCATGTTGTGCTGCTGTCTTACCGCTCGATGTAAAACCTTATCATACGCCCTTGTCGGTAACATGTCCGCCTTTTAAGTAGTATCGGATTTACTGTCTAAAAAAACGCTTAGAAAACAATGGTAAAGTTCAATTCGCTTACAGTACATGTAGTAATTGTCAAGCACATATTAGTTACTTTTTCTTCGAACTAGAACAATCTATCTTTGTGGCTCAAGCGACAGCGTTTATTAGCACAGCGTTGTTCTTGCGGCCGGCTACTGTTGTACATGTAACATGTACGATTTGGCAGTACCAGATACCTCATAGAAACCCACTCAGATAACTTATTAATGCTAATACTTTTACAGCAAAACAATTGTAGTTATCATTTTAGTCATTGTAACTTGCAGTAACTACCGGGTACTGAGTACAGAGTATTACGTATATTAATAATAGAATGTCCTCAGCACCTTAATGATTTAAAAAAAAAGCGATAGCACTCGAATATTAAAAATAAAGCACTATTAGAAAAGGTATACAGTACTGTATGTCCTTAATACATGAATGCATATTTTGAACAATGTGATCCACATGAATTTACTGATTTACTGATGTACAGTACTTACTTTCCAGTTTGACTAATTGGAGCCGCCTCCAGCATTTGGGTAGTACTAGTAGTACCATTTTGGGTACATTTAGGTCTTTCTTCGAATGGAAGAGCTTCACAAGGCCGAGCAGGAACTCGCTGGGATCTGGCGCTATGTGTCCACGAACCTGTCCTTCCGCGGGCACGACACCTCAGCCCAGCAGCTTTTGACGTTCTCTAGCGAGGAGGAGCTGAGACTCGAGGAGAAAGTGAGCGAGGGCATTGCCGCATATCGCTGCGCGCTCTTGGACGCGCAAAACTGGATCCAAGAGCTGCAGGACGCCAAGGAGGCGGAGGAAGCAGCGGCGAAGATGGAAAAATACACCGTGCAGCTGCAAATCCACGTGGCCAGCTGCAGGAAGGCTCTCGTGGCCTATCGCCAGCGCGCCAAGATCGAGCGGCTCGAACAGCAGCGTCATAGCTTGCTGCCCCAGAGTCCACGGCAGGCAAAGGTCTCAGCCAGCACCAGCAGCAACTCAGGCTCGGCTGTGGATGTTACGGCGGCACTCAAGCGTACGAGGCAGGTCATGTCACAAGAAATTGAGCGTGTGAGCTCCGTGAGCAAAGTGCTGGACGACGGACGTTTGAGCCTTCGCAGTTCCCGCGAGGAATATGGCAGTGTGAATGCAGAGATCGTCGAAGTGCAAAAGAGACTCAAGACACTCGAATGGCAGGCCAAGCAGGACAAAATGTGGATCGGTGCAGGAGTCATGGTGCTGCTCTCGACTGTGTTGTTCATCGTGTACGAGCGAACGGGCCTCATTATTATTTAGAGTACAATGGCCTAGGTGGTTTGTTTACTAACGAGAATCAACAAGGGTTTACTATTATGGATTAATATGATTCCATCGTGATGAGGTGCTGGGACTCCCAGCGTGGGAGTATTACCTAGTAGGTAGCCTACATGTACACATAGAAGAGAAAAATGATCGAAGCTTTGACAAGGGCGAGGCACTATTATACTTACGTGAAGTGGCGTCAAAACTTGTCGATTCGGCTGGTGACCCTAATCTTGAGTATTTGAGGCTCATGCGGTGTTCAACCTTCAACAAGATCTCGTTGGTCTCTTCGTCTTCATCATGATGCACGTTGTGGCTGGTGGTCTATGCCATTTTGCAACTTGCTCTACATCGTCAAGAACCCCGACTTCAGAGAGCTTAACATGGCACCCGGCGCCGACAGTATGACGTGAAGCTTGTGGGCTTTGTGCGCAACAACCCCATGACCGACCGCTTCGACGTGCATAAGTTTCACCACATCAAGTTCTACTGCGCAGACGCCACCAATGCATCTCGCCGCTTCGCTTGGGGTCTAGGCATGGCCCAGATTGGCAAGTCCGACCAGTCCACGGGCAACCACGTGTCGGCCAGCTACGTCATTCAGAGCGGAGAAGTCAAACTGGTGTTCACGGCCCCGTACGCGCTCGAGACGGAGAAGGCGCCCGACGCCGTGAGTTCCATTTCTGGTTACGACCCGGAGTTCGCACAGATGTTCGTGATGAAGCACGGCCTGGCCGTGCGTGCCGTGGGAATTCTCGTCGGAGATGCTAAGGCCGCGTACGAACTTTCCGTGCAGAACGGTGGTGTGGGTGTGGTGGAACCCCAGACACTGACTGACAAAGAGTCGGGCAAGACGACAACCGTGTCGGAAGTGAAGCTTCGGGATAATCAACGCAGCACGGTGTCTGTCACACGAAACGCTCAGATTTTAGTTGAGGTTACGTTATGTTCGAGTCGACACCCAAAATGATCGATGCAAAAGTATTGTGCGCTCTAATCTAATTTTCCGATCGTGCACGCAATAATAGAGCAAATCTGTAATTGACTTGCTTTGGAAGAGAAGCGGATTAAGTACGAAATGTGATCACTTGAGTACGATCTGCGATGAGCAGTAAATTAAATGACTTTTAAAAAAAA